ACTGCCTAGTTCTCATCTGCAGCTGATTTCACCATTCTCTCATCAGACTCATGTATACATTTGGCCACTGACAAACCACAGTAGCAGGAGGTTTATCTGAAGGTGGCAGCAAGAGCATCTTTTTCACTGGTAGAGATGCCAACAGGATAAAGGTAAAATTTGGAAATAAACTACTTTTGGATTTAGTAGAGCCTTTTAATACAGCCATATTTTAAATTATATGTATGAATTAGAATTAATGTAAAGGTGATATCTGGCTCCTAAATACTGAAAGGTAGGGTTTATTAGCTCAAGCATAGGACTATGCTAATGAAATATTTAATGCTTCCAGGACTTCGGAAGTATTTCTAGACAAACCTTCAATGCCTTTTATAGATGTACAAGTCTGGGTCAGTAGTACTTCATGGCTGTCTGTGACAGGCATGATTGGACTGAATAGGTATGGTCTAAGACTGTCTTTTCTGTTCTGTTCTTGTACTCTTTGGTACAAAGAAAGCCTTGTTCTTGAGTAGGCTTTCTAGGCCCTGTAGAAATAAAAATAATGAATATCACCCTTAGATTTCTTTATAATTCCCATGCCAAAAGAAGTAATACTAGATTTTTGTCCCAAGGTTTTTCAGTTCTTATGCTGTACAAACCTGTACAGATTTAAAGCTGTCAGAAGTTTTCTTTCACATTTTTTTTTAATATTGAAATCTTTCCATTTCATGAAAAAGGAAATAGCAATCTGAGTTCTTTAATGATTAAGTTTGTAATAAGAAAAACTTATATTAAAAGTGTGATGGATTTTTGATTTTCTGTTAATATTCCCTTTCCTTAATGGCGGTTATGCCAGGCTCCAGACAAACCAAACGCTTCAGTGAGGGAACTGACTCGGGGCAACCTGTTTGCTAGGGCTATGCTGAAGCCATCCTCCTGTGTGGCTTTTAGATGAATTATGACTGATGGTCCAGCAGAAGTTTTAAGGGAGCTGGCAAAAAAGGAACAGGTGCAGCCCAGAGGAATGACATGTTCCTGAGGCAGCCTGGAAGTAGGAGCCAGCACAGACAAGGCAGTGAGGCAGTTTGAAGACATGGAGAGGGCAAAAGAGGCTGTGGGCAACCCACAGAGGAGACACCTTTATGCTGAGAGGTTTTCAGGTATTATGGTAGGGAGAGTAGGAAAATCTGTGGAGATGGCTCTGGTGTATGGAACCAAGCTAGTGCAGCAGCCCGCCACAGCCTGGAGGTGGCACCGAGGCAGGGCTTGAAGAAAGCACTGAAGGCTGCAGAGAGGCCAAAATATGGCTCTGAGGTGGTTTGTGGGCCCCAGTCAAAGCCGGGATGGCACGGAGGTGGTTTGTACCCCAGGCAGGCAGAGCCTCCCACCTGGCAGACAGAGGGCAGAGCTCTGGGCCCTGCACACTCTGGAGACTGAGGAGAGACCCGCTCTGTTCTCAGTTCTGCTAAATACACAACAAATGTTACATCAGGGAGTTAACAAGGGAGAAGGGATGTGTTTAGTAGTCACATGTTAGCTGTTCAGAGCAGTCAGAGGGGATGTGGAGCAGTTATCCAGTCTGAGGATAGGGTCTTGCCTCTCAGACATTGTTCATTTATTACTTGTTGGCTTTGCCAGCTTGTTCTGTGTTCCCACCTGTATCTTGCAATTCTTTGCAGTAAAAAAATGATTCAGTGCTGCCTATAAGGAGCTACAGCAAGGTACTGATATTTCTGCAGCTCACACTATGTGAATATGTGGACCTGCATGGTCATGCACCTATGTGCATGACCTATGTGGTAATGGCCAGGCTTTGAGGAGGCTGAAAAGAAGAATCAGCTGTGGTCTGGGAGCAGTCTTAACTTTGTAAGGGCACAGTTGTGCCTGAAATGATGAGTCTCCTTGAGAGGCAGTCTGAAACCTTTTATTCCTAATATCAGGAATTGTTAACTCTAGATTACTATATCTACACTGTCAGGATCTTTACAGCATAAAGGTGTCTGGGCAGATACCAGCCAAACACCTCCAGATTCCCATAAGGCTATTGCCTCTTCACCTGTACAAAAAGAGTAGCGAAAATGGAGATCTTTTTATTTTCAGTGATTGCTGGTGCTGTGTTGATAAGTTGCATCAGATGTTCTTCTGCGTTGAAACATGGCATAGAGGAGTGGATGAGATCAGAGAACACTGTTTCTGCTGTGTACACAGACAAGGTGGGAAATTAGTTAAAAATAGCCCCAGCTATATCTCCTGACCAGCTTCCACCAGCTTACCATGTTTATCTATACAGACTGAAGTGCTATAGGTTAGCCTTAAAACTGGCTGTGGAGTCAGCAGGTGATTCTGATATTACAGGACTGTTACACAGATAGTTAGTGGGCCTGAGAAGCAGGGCATGCATCAGCCTTGTGTTTATGTTAAACAAATAAGTTTCAATTTTAACTGTGCATCTGCTGAACAATGCACAAGCCTCAACTGGCTCCTCAGTAGCAGCAAGCTTCTGGTCAAGATTCAAAATCCAGTGATGAGAGGAGGTTTTCTCAGTGTCCAATGGGGCACAGCTTGAAGCACAGAACAAGTTTCTTACCTGTTCTTTGCAACCTGTCTAGTCTCTAGTACTGTCTTGGCCACCTGGCTGATTTGTTGCATCCCAAAGCAACTGAAACATGAGGGAGCTCAAACAATTATTTAAAATTGGATGTGCAAAGCTACATAAATCAAGCTGCTAAATATAAAACCAAACATCAATTTGACATGCACTTCAGCCATGCTGAAGGTAGTAGCAGCTGTACTCACTACTGGGTTCTCATTTCTTCTTGACCTTGTTCATCACCCCATGCTAAGATTCATATTTCATTTTACTGCCATACAAACCAAAATGTTAAGCCAATGGGACTGTGATTGTTAAAGCTGGCTGGAAGCTCAATGGATTTTTTAAACTGAAATACAAAACCAATTTGTAGTCCTGTTTTGGGATGAGATCTGTAGAGCCTCTCTGGAATTCTGACAGCATAGCTATGATCTGAGGTTTTGAGCCAAAATTGTCTTTGGGTCCTTTTTTTCCCCCCACTCCAAATGAGCTTGGGAAATAAAAATCAATGTTTGACTTCAGAATGTGGAAAAAAAAACGATTATTGAGAACGTCTCTCTATGAGGGTGTGGGAACTGGTCTTTCCCTTTCCCCATTTTTTCCTGAAATTATGAACAAAGTCCTATATTCAGTGAAGTCAGAATATAACTAGGACTTTGTGTTTAGATGACTGAAGGGCACACAGCTACAATTACCTTGACACACAGGTCGATGTGATCTAATGTTTCTAATGTGATCAATGTTTCTAATGTGATTACATCAAGTGCTTATTTGGTGGTTTCTTGATTAAGAGAAGTTGTCAGGAGCAAAATGTCAGGAGCTTAAGAGACATGAACAAAACAGGGAGAGAATATAGGGGGTCCTGACTGGAGGAGGACATAACTATGACTGTAAGATGGCAGAAACCAGTGGGGAGTGGTAAAATGATTACTTCCATGGGAAGTTTAAGAGGTTAATGACCTGCAGCTATGGATGGATGGAATTTGCATGGACCCGGATCTCAGCTGTGATCCAGTTGCAGACCAGTTCCAAAGAAAAACCCTATAAATCAGTTAAAGAATTCTGGTGAATCGTGCTTTGTGCTCATGGTTTGTGATGTAGCCAGCAGTTCTTGATGGAATTACAACTGCCCTGCTCACACTCACCTGCTGTTTGCTCTGTATTAAGTTAACAATAGTAAATAAACTGTGTATTAGGTTTCAAGCTGACCTGTTCATGCCAAATGAATTCGTCTTGCCCACATGCTGTCCTAATTTAAAACATATGTATTGATTTATATCCTGTTGCTTCCATACATTAAAGTACTGTTTAGATTTTTGCCTCATCAATATTCTTCACCATTTTGAATGGATGTGTAGCTTGTTGTGGGTTTGGTTCAAAAGTGTTCTGTGATAGAGAGAGAACTCTTTGTGTGTGTGTGTGTGTGTATGTGAAGGAGTAGAAGTGAGCTGGACCATGGTGGCATTGTACAGCACTTAAACCTGTCACCTGCAACCAACAGTAGACACTTTGTTCTTTTACAGGCAAAACCTTCATTAGCATCAAAGGAAGTTTACATTATTGCAGGAAAGATGGGGCCCTTGTCTAGTGAAAATGCAACTGGTCAGGAGAAATATTGTATAATAGTATATTTCTCATACAGCACTATAAACCTCATAGAAAACAGATGAAAGTTTTCTGATTTTCCCTGTCTTCTAAGGAGTGAAAAAATTTTGTATATAAAATGGAGTTTCTCCCAAGAAGAAATTAAAAAAAACCCCAGAACCTTATGTCAGACTCCAAACCATGTATTTAGACCTCCAAATAAGTAGCCTGGGCTTTTCAAAAGTGCTAAACTCTGCCAACCCCCACTGCTCTTAGGATACAGCTTCTAAGGATGAACGTCATTTGACTGCATGTTCTTGCAAAGAAATACTAAGAATATGCAGTAGGTCAAAGTGGTTCCTTATCTTTGTGCAGAGATAAGGGCTGCTGTTCCTCCTAGGAAACAGTGTCTTAGAAGCGGAAGGCTGCACTTCTTATCATTCAAGTATGTGCCATAAAGGGGTAAAAATAGGGACATTGAGGATAAGAAAGCTGAAACTAAGGCACCTGCTACCCAGAGAAGGAAACTTGGGAATGAAGTAAGACTGAGAGTCTCTTCTGTTCTGAATACTTGAAATCTTCACTTGCAGGAGCAAATAATTTGCCTGTAAAAGCCTCTGAGATTATTGATATGAGAAAAGGCTTCCTGGATTTAGACTCCTGACTTTATCATGCGGACTACATTCCATTTACAGAGTTTCACAGAAGTTGAAAATGTCAGAGTTGGCTGAGAGAATTAGATTTCAATAGCTGTTAAACATTTGCTGGATATCCTAAATCTCCATTGAAAACCTTTTTTTTTTTTTTCCCCCTTTTTCTTTTTTTTTCTTTTTTTTCTTTTTTTGGTAACCTAAACAGAATTGATTAAACAGAAAGGTTGAAATAAGGTATTTAAATTGTATCACTGTTGGCAAATAATGCATAGTTCATTCAATCTCTCAATATTTTAATCCAATATTCACTTTGCCATGATATATAATGCTGGCTATTTACAATGATTGTCATTCTTTAAATGACGGTTTTCCTTTAAAACAAGCAGCAAAACCAACAACCAGCCCCACACCCTGCTTCAAATCTTGTTTGCAAGGGTTTTCATTGGCATCACTATTGTACAGATTTACACAGAGCAGAAAAAGGGAGTATTCTTATTATTTGAGATTCTGCCTTGTATGCTACCTGCAGCCACATTCTGCCACTTTCATCCCTTCATAGTTATATATCAAAGTAGGCACACCAGCATCATCCTTATAAAGAATGGAGATTGAATCCAGTTTGGTTGGAACACAACAGGCCTTGGAGGCTTTCTTTGGGTTTTGGAGATGCACCAGAGTTTGGACAATAGCATGTTTTGTTGGGGTAACGTTATCTGTCAGAGGGAAGAAGCAACCTCCTTTACACTCAAAAGCCTCATAATCTTTTGGCGCGATGATCCAGGAATCCCAGCCAATCTCTTCAAAGTTAACATGGAGGGAAGTTCTCCGGCAGTGGTTGGCCCCAATGCTTCTCTTGCTTCTGGAGGAATGCTGGTGGGGCCCAGTGATGGCCTTTTCCTCTCCCTGTTCTTCCTCTTCAGATGAAGTGTTGTTCTTTCCTAGCTTCTTTAGCACACTTTCTTGTTCGTGAACAATCATCTCCCGGAGCTCCACTTTGGTCTCTTTTGTCCCATTGCTGCGGTCATTGGAGAACACCATTAACAGGGGCAGATTTTTAGCATCAGGGGCAACACTGATATCCAGCTTCCCACAAGTGAAACCACCCAGAGCTTTGCTCTCTATAACAACCTCTAGCTTGTTTTTAGTCTTCAGTTTATCTGCTCTGACCCATCTTTTCACAGCGCTGGACACTTCAAACATCTCCCAACCACACTTCTGGATATTGTGGGAGACAAGGAAAGATTTGGTACTTTCTGGGTTTTCCCAGTGTCCATCATCTAGAACATCATAAATGACCATGATGCCTTCCAGCCTAGAGAGAGACTCAACTTCTCTGTGACAGGAGATATAAATTCTCAGTTCAGCTCTGGTGATTTCCTCATATTGTGGAATAGAGACGTTGAAGAATAAAATGTGTTTCTGAAATGAATTTTCTTCTGGTGAATCTAAAGAAACAACATCTGCAATAGGAAATTAAAACATGTGGTTACAGTGCTTCTGACTGTCCAAGTAACTTGATTTTAAAAGACTCAGGATATATTCTGGGGGTAAAATAAGAGCATGGCTACACAGCATTAAAAAAAAAAAAATACTGTCTTCTGACCAAGTTTCAAGGGCAAAGAGTGAAAGGGGAAATGGAGGTCCCTGGTGTTGGTAGCATTTCACCAAGACTGCATAGCCAGGTGAGCGTGTGAAGCATAAAGAGGCTGCCTGAAACAAACTGGATGATGCTGCTCAGTATTAAGTATATAAATAAGGCATGTGCACAGTTTTCAGATTTAGCAATTTGCTAAACATATTTTTACACAAAGAACTCCTCAAAACCCCTACGAATTTCCTACTCTTATTATCATGCAGTTGGACGAACTGCTCTTATATTCACATTTAAGTGTCTTTAAGAACTACCTGTGCTGAGGCTTTTGTTGTTGTCTATAGGTAACTTTGAAAGCAGCTTGGATTACTGGGCATTTAAGGTAATAGAAAAGTTTTTGGAAATCCTGAACTGAAGCTTTGGGGTCTATCTGAATTGAGACTTGGTGATAAGCAGCCTGTCAAGCCCAGGTCCCAGTCTGTTCCACACTGGACTCACTGAACTTGTATGGGTTTGTTCATATGTTTGTTGTCTGCAAATCTATGTGCAGTACCAGCAATTCTGTCTGGGGAGGGGCAGATATTTGTCAGGAAGATCAGATTGGCAGTGTTTAGAAGTCATCACTGATGTCTATTTAATGTATAGTGTAAACCAGCTGCTTAATCATGATTGGATGTTAGAGCAATTTTATTCGGCTATTGCTGCCACTTCCTCAGAGCATTTACCCACTAAAGCAGTCGGAGAGGAGAGTGAGATATGGAAACTATAATCTAGGTCATACTGTTAAGGTTTCTTTCCATTTCAGGACTAGGGCCACTAATTTGGGAATTAGGAGTTCTCCGTAGTGCTGTTACCTGTGTATGCCTATTTTTCATATAAACAGAAACTTCAGTTCTCCCTGTATCATTTTTATCACAAGGACTGCATTTGCTTACAACTTTTTTACTGCTTCTCTTGGTGGAGCTTTTACGAGTTTATTTAATGTTACACAGACAGGGATCTTGAACATTTTGAGACAAGCGTGACTACCCATTTTCATATAAATCTTTCTGTCTAATCCAGAATTTTGGAGGAGCACTGCTGTTCCTTGCTTGGATCCAGAGACATATTTCTCAATAGTTTTTAAATGCGCAGAGAGCCCACCTGAAAGAAGAGCTCTCTAGCATTGATGTCTTTGCATTCTAACATAAAAACTCAGTTCCAAATATCTAGGGTTGAGAAACACGATACATGTAAACTGTTATACAGTGCATCATCTCCCTTGAAGTGTTTGAGAATATTGTACAGTGAAAATATAAAAGAAGGAAGCTAAAGGTAATTGTATTTTTTAAAGATTGAAAGAAACTACAGAGCAAGAATACAATCCAAAATTTTAATGTTTCATTTCTAAAGAATCTGTGGAAGTCAGGCACTCAGTTTCTTCTGAATTTCAAAAGAATCTGAGTATCTACTGTTCACATACTTTTATAAGAATTCTAGTCCACATATTTAGGACTTCTCCTACCTTCAGTACTGAAGCTCCTTACAATATTGGACGCAGGGATGGAGGACTTGTCTGCAGCATATCTGTTGTATAAATCAATCATGAACTGTGGTGGTTCTTCTTTGGTCTTCACTTGTGAGGGGACTCTTGACAAATTCAAACTCCTTTGTAAATCCGTCTTCATATTCTCCAGGAAAGATTTAAAGTCAAAATGGGTCTCATCTTCTATTTCCCCAGGATCATGAAAGTGTGCATCAGACTTTCCCATAGCTGATAACTTTTCCCAGTCTTCCAAAGGCTTGCCTCTTGTCAAACAAGCAATGATGTTGAAAACAGACAGTGCAGTTAATACTCCAAAACAATGCATTTCTTCTATATTTACTTTATGGTGGAGAGACAAGAGGACCAGGGTATTTTAGCTGATATTAACAGTCTTGTTTCTTTACAGAGAGAGGAAAGAAGATGTAAGGCAAACAACTGGAATGCCCTTTGCAAATCACTTTCTTGTTCTCTTTTTGCAGTCTGCTTCAAACCCCAGCCTCTTGTCAGTTGTCAAGCAGATTGGTCGTACACTTGCCCTTATCAGAGTCATTGATGCCATGCTTCAGCTTCTGTTATCTAGGAAAGCTCTTAGTTAATGAAGACTCTGTAAACATCTGACAAACACATGTGGCTGGTGGGAAGGACATTGTATATTGTAAAGAATCCACATTTCACTTTAGGGTCATCTTTGCTTAATTACATTCTTCTATCATTTCCTTGCCAACACAGAGAGAAGCTTTCTTAGGGACGTAGAAGATTGCACTGTTTTTATCAAGACTAAAAAATAGAGGTCTAGAACAAAATCACTCTATTAGCAAATAACATCTAACAAATCTTTTTTACAGTCTTTTCACCTGCAGCCAGAAAATCCCTGCTCATTTGATGGAGACCTGTGATTCTGCAAAACATGATCTCATGACAATACAAACACCCTTAAAACTTGTGTCCGTTTATCAGCCAAGAGCTATTGTTTGTACACATTGAAATATCTGTTTTGTGTCAAATTTGCTTCATGTGGTTTTCAGGCTTGTCCATTTTCAGTTTGATTCCTTTGGTGTATGGGAATTTAGCCTTGTTTTTATAGTGTCTTATGTAATATATTTCATAGATTCATCATCTCAGTCCAGTCCAAGAACAACCAGTCATTTTTTCACTGACCTCAAAATGAAGACAGAACTAGGCATTCTAAGGCCACATGGAAAGTAAAAAGTCTTTTTGAAGATACAGAAGATTATCTGTGAAGATACTGTATCCATGAGAAGAAGGGGCCAAGGCAAATGAATTTCTCAGGATATAGAAGAAAAAATCAGGTTCTTTATAGACAAAAACATCACTTTCTGTTTATCTTAATGAATGTATTATGAGTTAATCTAATGATACATAATTGCTTTGTCTGTACTATTAATGCATAATTTTTTCTAAGCACAAGTCAATTCATACTGTACATGAGCCATAAAGTCTGGGTTCTATTATGAGCTTTTCACATTAAAAAAAATCACATTGCAAAGATATAGTCAAGATTTTGCTCTTTCTGGCCATTCTTCTCCAGTTTTCCAGCAGTGCATACACAGCATTTAAATTGATCCCAAACTTCTGAAATGCTCACTTATGTGTCTGTTCAAGTGATAACTGGATCCAAGATCCTGGTTAATTATGCTCCTATGTCTTAAACTTAAGAAAGATTATTTGGTATTGACCTTGGTGTCCTGCATAGCAAGACTGTTATGTTTTACTCAAGGCCTTTGTGTTTCTACTACATGCATAGTCCAATTACTTGTGTTTGGCTAAATATAAGTTTTTAAGTGTCTCTGGACTTTACCTGAACATGTCAAAGAATCAAAGATTTGTTCAGTTTCATAGCACTTACTCTAAAAGATTACCATCTACAGTTAAAAAACCCATGGTGCTTCATTTATTATTTCATTCTGCCTGACTTTACCTTCTAGACAGAAATTTTTGTAACTTTCTGGCTAGTTTAAGGAGTCCCATAGCGCTGACATTTTCTCCCTGTTGAAGTGCTTGCAGAGTGTAATCAAGTTACTTCTCAGTTTACTTTCTGATAAAATAAACAGATTGTTCTTTGTAGTTACATAGGACATTTTCTCTAACTGCTTTCATTTCTTTTTTGTGTCTCCTTCAGAATTTTAATGTCTTTTTGAAAAGGTGAACCCCAGGGCTATACATAGTTTTCTGGTGTCAGTCCACCAGTGCCACATGAAGAAATCAAATCTTTCCTTATTTGGTTCACTATTTCAGTGTGTATCTTTTCAAAGCTTTCACTAGCTCTCATTACATAGCATCACCTTGAATGCTCATACTGCACCATAAATCCATGATATCCACAAAATTTTTTTAAGAGTTATGGTTTTCAAGGGTGCAGCCTTTTACTCAGTAGAAGCAGCCTCCATTCCTCATGCCGAGGTATCTGAAGTTCTGAATCTGTCTACTTTAAAATGAACTTTAGCTACAAAAAGTGCAGCTAGATCAAGCAATCTATATTAATACCTCTCTCCTTCTGAAAATGCTGTGGGTGTTGCTATGTACAGACTTCTAGTTCATACATAAAGATGTGACATAGTGTCAGGCCAAGTGTCAGCTTTGCAGAAACTTTACAATGAATAGTTTAACTCAGAGGCAATTCCTTTTAAAAGCTGTTATTTGAGGTTTGGCAGGGAGAAAGTTGTTAATTCATGTGATGCTCAAATATATTAACATTGTTCACTAGTTTATTTTAATTGTGCAGCCTTGTGCAAGTGAATTGAAATACTCCACAAAAACCTAGGTACACTCTAGCTGTTGCTGTTATCTCTAGCAATTAAACTGCCACCTCAAAGAATGAAATTGGATTTGGGGAAAAAAAGAATGTAATGCTTTGCTGGCTAGCATCAGCTGTTTTCATATTTTATCTGTCTTTAATCATCCCATATTAGTATATTCTCAGTTCTTTTAGGATTAATTAGTGGAATTATCTTGACCTCTGTTTGTCAATAGTAACTTCCTCTAGAAACTTAAACATTGAGCAGAATGGTTTATAGGATGTTCATAGAAATAAAAGATCTGTTGGAACCAAGAGAGTAAGGGTATCAGTGCCCTCTGGCACCAGCTGACTGCATTTGTACCATTTTGCAAAGTTTCTCTTTCTAGACGAAGATGAGACCTCCAAATACCAAAGGTCCAGAAAGGAGTAGCTTAAACCACTAAACAAAGAGTGGTTGGAGGCCTTGCTTGCGTTAGAGAATTGACCAGTACAGCTAAACTCCAAATGAAATAAGCTTTACTAATAAGAAATGTGTATTGCTTGTATAGCAACTGTGAGAGCAATGACACAGGTATAGTTTTGCTGACTTCTTAGTCAGAGCTGTATAGGAGGAATGGGCAAGAATTGCTGTGAGAGTAACCTTAGAAAGACTCCCATGCATGCTGATTTTGCTTTTATACAGGTTAGCAGGTTTACAGGCCTCTGTCATCTGGGAATCTGCATCACCTTAGTATGGAATATTGGCGGCAGAAATTCCGTAGCACCTTACCAGGATAGGAGCCTTTCAATTAGTCATTCATCAGAAGGTAGTGCATGTCGTATTCTTCCCCTAAACAATGCAAGTCTTAAAAGGATAAGATTGTGTGTAAGGTTAGACTGTGTCTTGAGGAGGAAACACTCCATATCTTGCACTCTGTGCTACCTCACAGACTTCACAAGTTTGTTCCACTCTTGTGCTGCTTATGCTACTGTACAGCTGGTGGGTGAAAATGAATTATGTGGTAAGTGTAACCTACCACGCAGGGACACTGAGAGAGAGAGGACTGACAGACACTAAGATGGCACATTAGCTCTTAAAGGAGTGCTGCACTTAAGGGCTACCATAAATGTATCAACAGGGACTGTGCAGGAGTTAGAGGACACAGAGACTTTATTTCTATAAAGACTTCTAATGGAACCACTGCCAAATGTTTTCCATTTTGATGTTCATTGTTTGAAATGAAAGTTCTGGAAAGAGTTCAGAAGAGAGCTGTGAGAAATTGTTTTGAGGTTTAGAATAGGAAATCAATCTATTTAAATCTCAGCCAAAATGTAATTTGACCCTACTCGCTATACTGAAAATACACAGGGAAAGTATTTTGTACAAGAGATAAAAAAGATCTAATATAATAGGTTACAGTAAGATCCATTGAACTGAAGCTAAAGCTCATCAAATTCAGTCTACGATTAAGCCACTACATATGAACAAAGACCACTAACTTTTGGAACAACTACTTGTAGTCCAGTAGAGATATTCTATCACACGAAATCTTTAAAGCCAAATTTATGCATGTTTTTCAAAGATATTCCCAAGCTCAAAACAGAAGTTCTATAATGCCTGGTGCAGAAACTGCTGAGCAGTTTCTTTGATCTCTGCTACGCAGGAGGTCAATCTAGATGATCATAGTATTTTCTTCTGTCTTTAATCTATTGAAGTGCATTATGACAAGCTTAACATGTATATACATGTTTCCACCTAATTAACAGAATGCAAGAGAGTACATTTATAGAAAGACAATTCAAATATCTTTAGATACTACTGTACCTTTAATTTATTAGCTTTTGTTAAAAGCATGTAACAATCTAGAGGATATAAAGTATAATTTACAAAAATATAAATCTTGGTTATTTCATTTTTAGTATTTCAACATACTACTATATTGTATGTGTTACTCAGATAATGTGTTTAACAATCTGAAATCATCCAGCAAACCAGAAATGTGGGATATTACATGTCTTTTGTAGAACAAATTATATATTAGGGAAGGGTAACCAAAAATGGCTATGTTAACATATGGTTTATATAAAAACTTGTGAACTATACTTGCATTCTGAAGAAAATATACATTTTAAGCCCTTTATTACAGCGTTTTTCAGTATAAATATGGAGATAGAGTATGAGTGTTTTAGGCAAAAAGTTTTGATTTTTGTACAAAAGTGATATTCTAAAATAAGCCTGCCTTTCCAAGTTCACTTCCCATCTTCTTGGTTAACTGAAGAGATAAAATAGTCAGAAAATAGCATATAGAAACATATTTTAGTCCTTTAATTATGAAAAACTTTACACTTAAATTTCTCACTAAACACCAGGTATCTTGGCTAGGTGGGTTAGGAAGATAACTGTAAATGTACTGAGTTCCTGGGAGATGAATATGAAGGACAAGTTACGACAGTATGACATAAACTTCCAGGTGTGCATGTGTATTGCTTTAGTCTCTCTGCACGCTTTCTGTGGAGGAATTGTAGACTTGCATTTGTTCATCAACACAAGTGGATTAATTTCTCATTTCTAACTTCCCAGTGCAGGCAGGCAGGATGTGAGGGTCTTGCTAAAGGCGTGTTTGTATGGACTTTATCGGCAAGCACAAGTTTCAACTGACATATTGGGGTATACCTTTAAAACAACATTTTTGTTCTCATCTAAGAACAGGACACTGAGTGAGCTCATTTTGTCAGGAACGCAGCAGGGTTCTGGGATGCCAGGAATGATTCCTACTGCTTTTACGATGCTCTGAATCGTAGCATGATTTGACGGCCGGACAATCTGCAACAGAGAAGGAAATAGTTACAGCTTCATTTATGAGCAGTGGATTTCCCAAGTGCACTTGGAAAATTACAACAATTATGGCTTTTTGTTTCATGGTAAAGCAAATATATGTGATTGATGCAGCACAGTCA